AAAAAAATTGGCAACAATAAATGGGGCCCAACCCGTGTTACAACCGGAAGTAGATACTCCTCAGGAAATGCTAAAGTGTTGCCACATACGAGTTGCGGAAAGTCGTGATATTAAGCCATTTGAAGAAATATTCATTTGGGGTAAATTGGAAAATAAGAATGAAAAATTTACTAGAGATTCGTATATCGAAGGTACGGAACATTTTCAGCAGAGAACTGGGCTTCTTACAGCCCCGATAAAGATTTCGGCAGAAATGATGAACGATGAAAGTAAAATCCCCATATGTGTACTGAATACTACTGATAAATCAATCAGAGTTTATAGAGAACAAACTGCGGCCACAATTCAGGAACTGCCAAGTACCCACAACATAGCACATATTTCAGAGTCAAATATGGGGGGAAATAATCCATCATCACAATATGACCCAGTCCCAGAAGTATCAGTTGGTGAACAATTGACAACACAACAAAGAGAAAACCTAGAAATTTTAATTCGAAAAAATACACAAGTTTTCGACTACCCAGGAAACAGTGGGTTCACCACAACAATAGAGCACACAATACCCACAGCCGTATCTGATCCAATTGTGTGCCACCCCAGACGACACAACCTGGGGTTAACACAAAAAATTAATGAAGCAGTAGGAAACCATGTAAAGTCGGGACATTTGACACCCTCTAAGTCCCCTTGGGCATTTCCAATTGTACCTGTATTGAAACCAGATAAAACAGTTCGATTGTGTGTAGACTACAGACCACTTAACAAAATTACCCAGAATGACCCATATCCAACTGGAAATTTGCAAGAGGTTCTAGACAATCTATCAGGTGCTAACTATTTTAGTGTTATTGACTTGGCCCAAGGTTATTTGCAGGTCCCACTGGCCAAGGAAGATCGACCAAAGACAGCGTTTCGATCACCTACTGGGTTTTGGGAATGGACAAGAATGCCATATGGTTTAAAAGGAAGTCCGGCAACTTTTTCTCGGTTGATGCAGAAGGTTCTAGGACACATTCCACCACATCGGTTGGCATTGTACATGGATGATATCTGTATTATTAGCAAAACGTTTGAGGAACATTTAGTAAATCTCCAGGGAGTATTTGATGCATTGCGACAGCATGGATTACGAGTTAAAGCTAAGAAATGTGCTTTCGCAATGAAAGAAGTGAAATTTCTTGGACACAAAGTTTGCAACAAGGGTGTGCAGCCAGAGGAACATAAAGTAAAGGCAATTCGTGCATGGGTTGCACCAACTTGTCTTAAAGAGGTGCAAATGTTTTTGGGTGCAGTTGGGTGGTATCGGAAGTTTATCAAGGATTTTAGTACAATTGCTCGACCATTAACATGGCTTTTGGAGAAAGATGTCACATTCACTTGGGGTAAGGAGCAAGATGATGCATTCAATACACTAAGACATGAGTTGGTTAAAGCTCCAGTATTAGCCCATCCTGACCCCACTCGACCCTTTGTTGCTACCACGGATGCAAGTAAAGTGGGTCTGGGTGGTGAACTATCACAAGAAGATGCACAAGGACAATTACATCCGGTTGCATATTTCAGTCGTGCATTGACCAAACGAGAACGTTCATATCCAACTTATGACAGAGAAGTGATGGCTATGCGAGACACGCTTAAGCATTTTCGGTATTATCTGTTAGGAGCACAAGTAGTGATGAGGACCGACCACAAACCTCTTCTAAAGATCCTGGAACAGAAAGATCCATTTGGACGAAGAGCGACATTGATGAGAGATATAGCAGAATTCGAACCACGCATAGAGTTTATTCGAGGGCAGAATAATCACATGGCAGATGCTCTTAGTCGGATCGGATGGAATGTCAAATGGGAAGAGAGAGATGAGGATACTAGTAAAGTGGCTACTATTGGTGGCTCTCAAGACGAGATTGGTCCATGCAAGGATGTAAGGTTGGACATAAATGATTTCCAACTGCAGCAAGAACGTGACCCAACCCTTAAGCCACATATTTCTACTCACCGAAACGAACATGGTTTATTCACACGAGATCATAAGAAGCAAGTGTTACTTCCAGCATCGCTTGTTCCCACCATATTATCATTAGCTCATGACGAAACAGGGCACCAAGGAGCAGATAAAATGCTTGCAAGAATTGAACCTCATTATTGGTGGCCAAAGATGAAAGCAGAAGTAGAGAACTATGCAAAAACGTGCCAACGCTGTGCTGCTACTCTTGCCCAGGGACATAGAAAAGCACCCATTCATCAACGACCAAAAGAAGAGAAACCGTTTGCGTTGATAGAAGTAGATCTCAAGGGTCCATTACCGAGAACGAAAGAGGGATTTGACAATATTGTTGTGATAACAGATCCATGTACAAAATATGCAGAGATGCATCCAATTCGAGGACAAACCAGTCAAGTTGTTTGTAAGACACTCATGGGTTGGATATCAAGATATGGGTTACCAAACAAAGTGCACTCTGACAATGGACCTTGTTTCATAAGCGAAACATTTGAACAGTTTTGCATAACCCAAGGCATTGAGCATACTTTCAGTCCACCCTATAGGCCACAAGGAAACGCGGGTGTAGAACGGATTAATCGTACGATGGGGGAAGCACTCACAAAATTGGTAGATAAACATCCCAACCGATGGTCTCAACACCTACCTGACGTACAACTAGCATACAACACGGCAGTTCATACAAGTACAGGAGTTTCGCCGTACGAACTAGTTTTCAAGGAGCACCCGCGATCAAAATTCGAAATTATAACAGAGAAGATATCACCAGCAACGGTTAGAGAGAAAACGGAACGACTGCGCGAGACTGTTAGTGAGGTATTCCAAAAAGCACAAGAGTCCGATGCCAAGTTAGCGGAAAAACGCAGAGAACGGTACAACAGTAAAACTTCGTTTAAATCGTTGGGGGTGGGTCAACAAGTTTGGAAAAGAAATTTACGAGCAAAAACATTTGCAGATCGGTGGACGGGACCCTATGTCGTGGTAAAGCCCACGTCGGTAACCAAAACATCTTATGTGGTGAGAAGGAATAATGGAACTAAAGAAGAAATTGTCCATTACAATTACCTTAAACCTTATCAGATTCGACCTGTCAAGAAACCAAAGTCAAGGAATCCACCAAAGAAGAATGGGGTCGGACACCCAGCACTGGGTACCAGTGAGGACAGTGAATCTGACAGCAGAGAAGAGGAAATGCAACCAGAGAGAAGATATCCAGAAAGAATTCGAAGACCTCCAGAAAAATACACATAATACTTTTAAAGGGGGGAGTGGTGTGATATTGACATTTATTAGTTACATTGAAATGATACTCGTAAATAGCAAGCCTGTTTGCAGGCTATTAGGCATGGACCTTCGGGGGTAATAATGAACTGAAAGACTAAGATTATTATTATTGTACATGTGTTCGGGGAAGACAATATATAAATTTACAATATTATTCCCAATGGGTCGTACACTTTGCCAAGCTGACTCAAGATGCTTCGTTTCGTAACTGGTTCTGTCTCAGGTACTGCTGGTACTTGTATTTCTAGAGTGTCTTCACGCTTGTCCCAAACATGACCAAGGATTTTGCTAGGATTTGACATGTTCTCATCCTCTAATGTCGCGATGTTCGACTCCCACTTGTGAATCGGTAATTTTGCACTCTCAAGAATAACTTCACTTTCTTTCTTAAACTTCTCCAACTTATCAATGTTATTTCCCGTTTGCATGATATTGTCCACATACGTATTTTCTCTAAGGGCAGTCACTGTTTCCTCTAATTCTGGTGATTGTTGGTCGTAGTGGTATTCTAATGTAGCACCGAGTAAGAATGGGCTGGCTTCAACCCCGAATGGAACTCTGGCGAACCGAAAATGTTCCTCTTTTTCGTCGCGCTCGAAGAGGAATCTGAAGGCATCTCTGTCTTCTTCTTTGATTGCTATCTGTAAAAAGGCTTTTTGAATGTCTGCAAGAAGCAGATTTGACGACATTCTTGCTCTGACCATAATATCCCACAATAACGGTTGGAGGGGAGGCCCAGTAAACATACAATTGTTAATACTGGATGCTAGTGGATGGGGTTTGGAGCTCGCATCAAAGACCATTCTCACTTTCGTTGTCGCTGCGTCTTGCCTTACGACTGGCTTATGTGGCATGTAGTACACTCGCTCTCCTGACGGCTCGTCTGGGGCTTTCTCAATCACACCGCTTGCTAGTTGATCATCGATAATCTTCTCATATTCTTGCTTCAGGTTTTCGTCTTTCGCTAACTTTTTGTTCACGTTGAACAGTCGTCTTCTGCTTGGCTGTTCGTTTGTAGTTGTCAACTTACTCCCTGGAATCCATGGTATGCTAACTTGGTATCTGCCATCTTCTTGTCTGGTTATGTTCTCTCGAAACTCAGCAAGCACTTGCATTTGATCATTTTCACCACGGTCTTCAACTCCGAGAACATCAAGACTATATAACTGTTCGTAATCGTAAATTTCTCTAGTGAACATACAGGCATCGCTCGAATAATCCTCACCACCATGTATGACCCATCCGAATGTTGTCTCCTCCACAAGGGGATCTCCGGGATTTCCTTTGTAAACTTTCTCAGTTCGGATCCTGCTGTATGTGCCATCACCGAGTATGAGATGAATTGGATGTTCCCCTTTGGCGGTCATATAAAATCTTTTGTCTTGAGTATGGGTGTACTTCATCTTGAGTTCATTCATATCTGGTCTCTTAACTGTGGTAAAATCTTGAAGTCTGGAACCAGTCAGTTCGATTTCTTCCTGTACTTTCCCATCAAGAGAAGTTATGGTTGTTTGGAAAATAGGCATGGATTGAGTAGAGGTACCATTCACGGTTACAATCTCGCGGGATTCATGATGTGTTGGATTCAAATCGAGTTTCTTCACAGCCTCGCGTGAAATAAAGTTTCGACTCGAGCCAGTGTCGAGGTATGCCCACAGGGTTTATCCTTTTATGTTGACAGGTATAATAGCTGGAAGTGATTTCTCTTCGGTTAATGTGGTAAATCCTGTTAATGATGTCTTGTTCTCTTGGTTGTCTTCATTCTTATCACACAGGCTTGTGTGATGTTTGGCATTACACTTCAGGCAACCACGACTTCGGCATTGATTTCCCCTGTGTCCTGTGCGACCACAGTTAAAACACAGATTCTTCTCAGCGAAGAATTTCTTTCGGTCGGCCAATCGTTTCACTGTTTTGCATTGATCACTCCAGTGTTCATTGTTCGCGCAAAAAACACAGTGAGGTTTTGGGGGTCCTGATGACTTTTGATACCAATGTCCTTCTGGTTTCTTGTATCTGGTTTCTTTCTGATTGCTCGCATCATCTACTTTATTCCGTCGAAGCCACTTTTGCAAATTCTTTATTAGTACTTCCATGGACCATTCTTCCCAGTCATCGTCCGCTCGAACCAAATCGGGTTTTATGTGGGGCAACTTGTTGATTGTAGTCATAACAAATCCAGAAAGTTTTTCACTTTCTCCCAGAGTTTGAAGTGCATCGAAATTTTTGCTTAATTTCTCATAGAAATCTTGAACTTTTTCATAATTATGTCCTCTCACTGGAGTTAAGTTAATTATGGCATCCATATGGGCATTGATAACATGTTTGGGGTGACCATACTCGCTTTTTAATCTCTCCCATGCAATCTTGTAACCGACTTCACCTGGTTTCAAATTAGCAATCTTTTCCCTCACCTTTGGGCTCACCATTTCCAATAAAAATCCGTATTTTTCTTCGGCTGTACTCGCTTTTTCGTGAACAAGTGTCAAAAACATGTTCTCAAATCGCACCCAATCTGTGGGGGTCCCATTAAACGGTGTTATTTTTAACTTTGGTAATTTCGCTGCAGATGAACGAGCGGTCTTTTCTATTTCTATCTTTCTCTGAGTCATGCGTAATTCAGCTTCGTGCCTTTCTTGCCATAATTGTCGTTCGCGTTCCTCTTGTGCTTCGCGAATTTCAGCTCGTCGTTGTTCTTCTTGTTGAAATTGTTTATCTTTCAATTCTAGCCGTCGTAATTCAGCTTCGTCATAAGCTTTTTCTTGTTTTTCCTTTAGTTGTTGTGCTATTTTCTCTTTGTCTTCGATCAGCGCTGAATATTTAGCTCTTGTTTCCTTTTTCCACTGTCTAACTGAACGCGGTGTTTTGCCGTTATCGATTTTCAACTCTTCTGTTTGTGAAATTAGCTCCGATATTTTGACGATTATTTTCCCAGCGCGATTGTTTATAGCTTCCATTTCACCGTAATCTTTCGCTTGAATAATTTCATTTGTTTCTTCTAAGAAATACTTCAACTTAGAAATCTCTTTCTCAATATCTCCTTCGAGTTTTTGCTCACCTGCGTTTGTAATCTCGCTCGCCTCTTCGTCGCTCATAATGATAAATCAACAGTGTTTACTTCGTATTTCGCCGCTTTGTGTGTTTGATTTTCGTCGCTTTTTTCCTCTCGAATCCTGGTCACGGCACCACTAGTATACCGAACTCATTACTCACGTAGTATACTATTAATTATTTAATCGAAATTCCAAAAATAAAACTTACAAAACTTAAACCTAAAATATATTCAATTTCTCACAGTCTCACGAATCACGATATGTCTCACAGTCTCAATGTTGTTTTTGTATTCTCTGTCTATCAACTCTAAGTACTTAGCTATTACTTCAAAATGTCAATCGTGTTTATAAAAGTCCCCGCCCCTTGTCACGCCACCTAATGTGGCCTATACTAATTTCGCAGAGGAGGTTGGACAGCAGGCCGCAAAGCATCATGGGTATTGAGCGCCTAATTCCACGCGTGACTTCATTGACTGTTGACTGTTGAGGAGTGAACATCTCTCTGGTTAAACCAATATGGAAGCTTTCGAACGACAAGAGTGTCAGGCTGCGATACTTTGTGAAAAGAAACAGCATGTTATTGCTGTATTGTTGCGATCATCATTATGACTTGTGTTTTATTATATCAAGTTTACCTTTTTTGGGACGTGCTGTCATTTTAGCTTTATAAATAATCCGTCTGAGAAAAGGAATTGTGTTTAATTTTATATTCCCAATAGCGAGGCTCTTCTTTCTAAGTTGGATGGTGTTAAATCTCCGTGTATCATCAACGTGAAAACAAGCGCAGTATTTAAGGTTGGTATACTACAATGCATTACAGTTATCGTGTTATTTTATAGTCAAATTTCCGCTTTGTTGTTTTTATTCTTGTACTGTAATTTTATAAATAGACTGTACAAAATTATGGCGTCATACTTGTGTTTATAATGCCTCTAATTTGACCCTATTGTGTGTGTATATGTACTGTGTTACTGTGATACATATGTACATGTTTTGAGTTAATCGAATTGTTTAATAAATTTTTGCTGAAGTATGATGCCTGTTTGTATGGATAGATTTTTTACATATATGTGCACTGTGTATAGTTTTATACATTGGTTCTCAGATGAGTCTGAAGGTATATAATTGTTATTCAGTTATTTGTATGTATTGTTCTATACATTTTGCTGAGTGTGATGCCTGTTTGTATCTAGTTGTGGATGGTTGTGAGTATATAATTTTAGAGGTTACATGTTTGCTAATTTTAGAGATGATAATGCATCAAATAATAATTTTCTTGTTATGATTTTGTAGAAAGAGATTTACTTGAGTGGTTGGCTGGTCTTGAGCCTGTTCAGGATGGATATGATAATGAAAGAGGTGATCAAGGTGATAGGGCAGAAAGTGATGACGTTTAAGTGAGAAGATGAAAGTGATGAGGAGGAAATCGCCCACGCTGTAGCATTCAAGTGCATCGGTGATGCTCATGAGAAAAACTACCAACATTATTTGGAAAATTAAATTAAGACATAATACCTCACTCTTTGTGAACAAGATAAAACAGTGAATGTAAGAATATGGCCAGCACCATTGAATCCAAGGAACCCAAGTGCAATAGGCAATTCCAGCTTTTAGTTTATTTTATTAAAATTTTTCAGCATAATCAGCAATATGATACCTTACTTCCTGTTGCCCCCTGCACGCATAAATTAAAAGCTGGAATTGCCTATTGACTAGAGTATGGAACTGGATGACAACATGTTGGTTATATTGCTTTTCAACTATGCACGTATTTGCACCCACTAATTGCTGCAGATGTTGTGGATGTCTATTGTCTATGTTCAGTGTATCAAGTATAGGGTTGACTTTTTTAATTAAAAAGGGTGGATTTTTTTTTTTAAAGGACGGGTGGAAACCTTTCAGGGGGGGGGCAAGCAGCACCACTGAGTGAGCTTTTTACAGGGGTTTGGTATTAGGGTTAAAGACTTTTGAAACAAAATTTTGGTGGGGTTGGACACTTTATAAGAGGGGTTAGAGAGATTCTAATGGGGGGGGGTTAACCCCTCCTAACCCCCCCTCCAGTAAATCCGCCCATGATTTAATCCAAAAATTTTCATAACGAAACCTGGTGAGTGGAGACTCAAGTGGTAGGAAAAAGCATGAGTGTATGTTGACAGATGTTTTTATATAATAAATAGCAATTAGCTATGTTTAGCAAGTTATTAGTGCATTTATTTCAATTGGCTAACCTTTTTGTTTTTTTCCAGCATTTTTAAACAAACCATATGTTATAAATGGTATAACTGGGTATATCTAATTAAAACAATCTGTCATGCACACTCATGCAAATAAGACTAAGTACATAAATAACAACCTCGTACCCAGGGGAGAAAAGACCCTGGTAGATGCTGGTCACATGATCTGCTAAAATCTAGCAGATTTTTAATTAGCAGTCCAAGATGAAGTCAATAAATATTTGATATTTGGATGATTTTTATATGTTAATTTATAATTTGCATTTTGTATATGATTGTCATAAAGGAATTCAAGATAGTTAATTAGAAATCTGCTAGATTTTAGCAGATCACGTGACCAGCATCTACCGGGGTCTTTTCTCCCCAAGAGGAAGGACTCTGGGTAGGAGGTAGCATAAATAACTGTAAAAATGTACTTTAGTAAATGAATAATTTATCCATACACTTGATCTACTTTGTGAGTATTTTTTCCAATTAAAATTGATGCAACAATAAAACAAGAAGATGTCTATTTATATATTTATTAAATTGATCCAAGATGCCAACAATAACATGCTACTTAGGGAGTGGTCATTATTTATGGGGGGGGTGGTAAATGGGAGGGGGGGCAAACAAAGTTTTACCCTTATAAATAGGGGGGTCAAAAAAGTTTTAACACAGAGAAAGGGGGGGGGGGTAAAAAAGTTTTTGAACTTAAATACCATGTCTAGAGTTCTGGTTTCTATAATCACAAATAGCAAAAAAGAAGACTCTGAAAATGCCATTTCCAATGATCTAGAGACTCAAAATTTTCAAAATTTCCCTGCTCTGTGCCAACCATGGTAGTGCCTTGTGGGAGTGGTGCCCACTAAGTTTAACAAGCTTCCTACCCCCTGAGTGACCCAGCTGTGGTATTTACATAAACATACCATGCAAGTACACTTAACTGATCAGATTCGGTCTATCAACGCACAATGTAACGCTGTATATCCAAAAATCTGTTTCAGAAAATGCTCACA